TGATTTTTATTAAATCAAATCTTGATTACTGGATAAAAGTTTAAATTTTATTGGTATGTTTTATAGTACAGAATAGAAAAATAAATTAATGGTTATTAACTTAAAAATATGTGGCCTATTTATCTAAGTTTGGAAATCGTCATTTCTGTAGTACTAAGCTTTGTATTTTTCTCGCTTTCTATACACAAGTAACAGCTTTTAAGAGAAGACGTTTAACATGAATATTAAAAGTATTGTTATCTCTATTGTATACAATAATATAAGTTGGTGTATTAATAACTGTATAAAAATTAATGTTGATAATTGTGCTCAAATATCCTTTACTAAACATAAAAGCACTTTTATTTACAAATAACCTATGGACAATTAAGAATTTAAGGTAGATTTATCTACTAATGATATAGGTATTATTTTATAAGCTTATTATTCTTTTCATGACCATAATTCTTTTATTAATGGTAAAATATCAATGCTGAGATTTCAAAAATGTTTAATGTTATATAACTCTTTATTAATCTTTGGTACATTTAAATCTTGAGTATAAATCCATAATATCGTAATNTTATTAATCTTTGGTACATTTAAATCTTGAGTATAAATCCATAATATCGTAATTTAAGTTTACACTATCTTTCCACTTGACGTAAATTTAATGACTCATCATTTATATTTTTAATTTTAAATGGCAATATTAATTTTCCAAAAATTGATTGATTTGTTCCTTCTTTTTATACTAGATCTAAGACTACTTTTTATGAATCATTCCACTCACAATAACAGTTTTAACGAACCCAAAAGTCATATGCTTTGTACTTGTAATAGCTTCAAAAAATTTATCTTTAATTTTAATTGTGAATCTAAACTTCGGAATTTATATTTTAAGTTTATATATAATTAATACAAATACCTTATTAATGTATTATAATATTTAGTAGTAAAATATGATGTTTATATCATAATATTTATGATAATCAGACACGTAAATGACGCCCACCTTATGCGTTCGGGATGGAAAACTGACAGCAGCCGCGGAACCCATTACTTCTATCGCCCTCTCGTCACTTCGATTTTTCATCATAGAATCTCACACGGGAAAGCGTTTCTTCGTTGGACCTAATGTTCACCGCAACAAACGGCATATGAATTCAGACTTACAGTCCTATGACGCTCCAACTCGATTTCGGTTTGCTTGACATTTCACTTGGACATTTGAAATGGCAAACGTCGATCAATAACATTCCTCCATCTCTTTTTTGGACTTCCTTTAAATCTTCTTCTTTCAACATTCATTTCTATTACTGTTCTCATAGCTTCCGATCCCTCTCTCCTCATAACATGACCAATGTTATTTTAAAATTGTCCTGGAATCATGTTTATATCCCCCAAACCATAAGTCAAATAACGTCTTATCCTGGCACAGCCGCCATTCTGCAAATGGTCTTTTCGTGGACCTGCAATAACAACGCGGTTTTCCGCTTGTATAACGACTAGCTATGATAGCAAAGATCGCCACCACCTAGACTAGGTGTCACACCTATCAGATATGAAATGGTTTATCAACCACAATTTTAATAATTGAAGGTGTGAGTGGTTGATATGTAAAACATATTTATAAGTTACAACTCTTATTTATAGGTTATACTTGATTATATTTTTTAATATTACCTCAGTCTCTTTTTTTGTACAATTTTGTAAAAGTATTATTTTAACATTATTTAAGTAAAAATTAAATTGCATGAAATACAGCCACAATTTCAACATTTTGAATATTTTAACTTCGCACTCGTTTGTCTCAGTTGTGAGCATAGTCGCAATATTGTCTTCTTTCTTCTTTTACCTAACCTTTATCCCAAACTGCTTGGGCTGACTACCTTAATCCTAAACTTCCTCTTGATACGATCTCCCACATCAGCCGTCCTCATGTCGCACTTCAACATTCATTTATATTACTGTTCTCATAGCTTCCGATTCCTCTCTCCTCATAACATGACCAATCCATGTAAGTCTATTTTCTCTCATCTTATCCACGATTGATGCTACACCTATACTTCCTTTTATATGTTCTTTCCTTGTCGTATCTTCTCTAGTCACTGCACTCATCCATCTAAGTATTTTCATCACTACTATACTCATTCTCAGCTTTACTTTCTTGTCAATTACTCTGCCCAACACTCTGAACCATATATCATAGCTGGTCTCACTACAGTCTTGTAGAATTTACCTTACAGCCTCATTGAAATTCTTTTATCGCATAAGACGCCAGACGTTTCTCTGCACTTCAACCTCCCGCACTTAATTCTGTGTCTTACATCCTCTTCAATAACACCGCTGTTTTGCACAACTGATCTTAAATACTTAAAACTTTCCACCTCTCCTATCACATCATCGCCAACAGTCACTGATCTCTTAATTTCACCTACATCGTGTTCTCCTTTATCAAACTCGTACTCTATATACTCTGTTTTTTTCCTACTTATTATTAAACTCTTTTATTCAAGAGATGATTTCCTCATCTATAGCCTTTAATTAATTTCCTCGCTATTTTCTCCTATTAACAGTATCGTCAGTAAACAACATGCACCACGGCACCTCTCCTTGTATTTCTCTAGTAATTTCATCCATCACTATAGAAAATAAGTAAAAGCTTAAAGCAGAACCCTGATACACTCCTACTCTACGAAAAACTTCTGTTACTCCTCCCACACCTTTTAGTCTAGTACAACTGCCATCATACATATCCTCTATTATATTAATGTACCTTTTCGGGACTCTTTTTCTCATTAATGCCTACTTAACAACCTCTCTCGGTACTCTATAATAAGCTTTCTCCAAATCTATAAATACCATAGAAAGCTTTTTTTTTTCCCTAAACATTTCTATTAGTTGCCTCACACAAAATAATGGCTCCATTGTTGACTTACCAGGCATTGAAAAATTGGCTAAATTATAATTTAACAATAATAGTAATCAGCACATTCTGGATACTTAAAATGTTTTCTGCTCGTATAAAGTTTGTTGTCGTTATTATATCATGAGAA